GTACTCCTCGGCGCACTCGCAGATGACACGCAGGGTCCGCACTGCAAGGCACCAGCCACAGAACTCCAGCCCAGCCGGCCGGGCCTGCAGCAGGCACCACGCGCTCACCGTGCGGGGGGGAGGGGTCTCCGGCCTCGCGGGGTCTGCTCTGAGCCCGGTTTCTATGCGCCCTTTGCGCTGGCAGGGATGGACCTCAGCAGCCGGCGTCTCTTCCCCCTCCCACGGCTAAGGGAGGCCGGCTGCCCTCAGGAGCCTTAAACGCACCGCGCGCCCCGCCCCCCCCCCGCCCCGGCTTTCCCTGCCTCTCCCAGGGACTCTCCACAGCCTCGCGAACGGATTTCTCCTCCCCTCCCCTCCATAGCCCCTCAGCACAGCGCTGGAGCGGAGAGAGGGGAGGCTGTGTGACAAGCCCAAGGTCCCCCAGGGCGTGTGTGGCAGAGCAAGGAACCAAACCTGGGCTTCCCAAGGGCCAGAGGAACGCCTGAACCACGGGGCCACCCGCCCTTGCTACCGGCCCTGCAGCGACTCCTGCCAGCGCCCCGTGGGAAGGCGGCTGTGCGTTTCCGGCCCCTTTGGGGGTGGGGATGCAGACAGAAGTGAGGAACCTGGGCAACCAGCCTGCTCTCCCAGCGACCCGCGTGGAGCCCGCTAGACATGGGCTCCAGGTTCGACTTCCCGCAGCCACCCTGGGCAAGCCAGTCTCGCTCTGAGCCCCCGCCAGGCACCTGTGCCAGAGCGCGGCCTCTCAGGAGATGGGCTAGCGCCGGGGCGGCTGCAAACGCCCGGCACTCTCCAGAGAGGAAGGACGGGCCTAAAGCCTCAGGCTGCCCCCGGCAGGCCAGCCAGACCCTTCCTGGGCAATCCCTGGCCAGGGGGTTTCATGCTGCGGTCCCGGCTCCGGGCCTGCTCTCCCGGCCAAGGGAGCACAGAGAGGACTGAGCCGAACTTCACTGCCGAGAGCCTCTGGACTCCAAGAGCCACGTTCTTTCCCTCTGGCTCCGCCTGTGGGAGAAGAGAGCAGGCGCACCCAGCAGAGCCAGGCGGCTGTGACGAGCCGGCTGACGGAGGGGTGAGGATGGGCCAAGCGCTAAGATCCCAAGTCACGGGCCGAGACGGGGGGCAGAGCAGAAACAAGCAAACCGCAGCGGCTGTCCCTCTCGTCACAGTCTCCGGGCACGTCTCCCGCTGCCCCGGGGGGTGAGCACCAGCTGGGGGAAACCGAGGCACGTGCCAGAGACACGACTTAGCCAAGGCCGCGGAGCAGAGAAGCGAGCCCGGGGTTCCCCTGCTCTGAACAGGCCCCTCGTGAATGTGCACATGAAAAGCGGATACAGGGGTGCCCCCCCGGCCCCGCCCCCCCAGAGATAGGGCCAGCCTCACCTATGCAGTCCAACTTCTTCTGCGGGCAGCTCTCCAGAAGCATCAGCCCCAGCTCCTGCACGGCCCTGCTATACGGGTAGGACCCTGCCGCGGGGGCCGCGCTGTTCTGGGGGAAGAGGTTCGTCGTGAATGTGCACATGAAAAGCGGATACAGGGGTGCCCCCCCGGCCCCGCCCCCCCAGAGATAGGGCCAGCCTCACCTATGCAGTCCAACTTCTTCTGCGGGCAGCTCTCCAGAAGCATCAGCCCCAGCTCCTGCACGGCCCTGCTATACGGGTAGGACCCTGCCGCGGGGGCCGCGCTGTTCTGGGGGAAGAGGTTCGGGTTCGCCCTGCCTGTGGGGGCAGAGAAGCAGGCCGGGGCCAGGGGCGGCCTGTGGCGCCGGGCTCTCCGGGGCAGAGCCCCCGCGCACGCCAATCGCGCCCCTCCCGGGAGTGGGGCACCAGCAGGCCAGGAAACCAGGTGCCTCCCGGCCGCTCCCAGTCACAGGGAAGTGAAAGCCTGAAGCCACCGTGAGCCACGCCC